TTATCCATTGATAACAGGGAGAAGAATTCTTTCTATATACACATACACCTATTTCTGTGCATATATATTATTTACATACATGTTTTATGAGACCAATGAAAAATATAGAAGTCTCCTTAGACTTTCAGTAGTAGATTGGAACCACAGGGCAGATGGTTTGTGCTGTGCATAGGAGGTGAGGGTGACTTAGGGAGGACAGAGGCCTTGATCCAGAGGGGCTGACTGTGGTTCATATATTCACTGATGTCAGCATATTCCAAATTTTTGCTCTCTTCATATTTCCCATTAAATGGATTTATTTATTATCCAGTTTAAACTAAACTAACCTTTACAAAAAGACACATGACTTGACAAATTTCCTGCAAAGAAACTGCAGTTTGAAGATACTACTAATCAAGAAAGCAAAAGAGAACTTTGAACTCTCTGTCAGTCACATTATGGAGTAAGGAAATAATGACAATCTAATTAAATCTGTCATGAAGCCAGGTAAAGACATAATTGGAAATTATCAGAAGACTATTTGAAAATCTGCAATCACAACTCCTAATGAAAAAGCTAAACTTCACCCAAAGGGCATATTAAGTTTTGAGATTATTAGCCAGTGATAGAATGGTTACATAATTTGTAAACTAATAAATATGCATAGGTAGGAGGTTGCAAGTTCAAAAATATTTTACTGACAGGCACACACTCAAAAAAAAGTTTGGAGACCACTAGTTATTCTTGATTCTAACATTTTTTATTTCTTTCTTATTCTAATTGTAGAAAATTTGGAAATGCAAAAAAGCATCAAAAATAAAAAAATCACTAGAAAATAAACAATATTAGCATTAGATATACTGTCTCTTCTATCATAACTAGTTCATATAAAAAATCTTCATTGAGGGAGGTAGAACCTATAGAAAAAATCTTTATGGGACATCATGTTTTACTCTGGGTTACTTTGTCTGGTATCCATGAAGTTCAAGAAGGTATGTCAGGAATGTAGCCACACTCTTGGTTTTGAACATCTGCTTAACAAATATGGGACAAGTTTTGCTTTATGTGGGCGTGTCTATGATCTCACCCCAGGTTATGATGCAGAAGCCATATATATTATTATTGAGTGAAAGGAGGTTGGTACAGCAACTCATGTGCTATCTTAATTTTTAAATTAACTGGCTCATCTCAGCCATTGGTGATATGATTGAGTATCCCACTTAGAGTCTCCAGATGTCAGGATATCAGGAGTGCTCTGTTTTTCAGAAATCCCAAGGAATTTGGAGTATGCCCATCAAATGCCTTCCCTTAGAAACAGAACCACAGCTGTAGGTCTTTCAAACATGAATGCTGTCCTGGTTTATGTTAGCACTGACGTGGCTCTTATTGCAGAAACCACCCTCGGTTTCACACTCTGAAGCTTCTCTAGGAGTTTGCTCTTCATCCCCACAGTGAAGCATAGCTGGTATTTGAAATAATCTCATCACCCTCAAAAATAACTTCTGACAATCTGAGTGGAAGCAGTTTTTCCATAAGTCTGGCAGGATTTCCATTTCTAGATGCAACATTTACCCCAAGCTTTGGGTCTCTTTGGGTCTCCTCCCTGATGGGGAATAAGACCCCTTCAAAACTTGGGATGTTACAGCCTCCATCAGAAGATGCACAATCTAATCACTATTTTTATTTCTCTCATTTTATCGGGCACTTGCACTACTTCCCAACATTTGTTCCTCTGCATACTAAGTTGTTCAAGTTGCTGTCCAGTTCTTCGGGTGAGAAGGAGAATTTTTATACATAGAAAGGTTGAAGAATGCAAATCCTACAATTTGAATATCAAGCTCCTCGATAGCAACATTCAACTATGATCTAACTTTAAGTATTTAATTTACACTCATTTTTAACAAATATTTTCTGCATATGCTTTGTATTATATTTCAGGAGGGAAATTGGTTTTGACTAGAATTACTGTAGGCAAATACATTCTATTTTGCCCTTAGTTTATGTCAAGGGTGTAGTCCATGTTGAAGTGAAGCTAACTGACACTTTCTGAAACTAAAACCATATTTGGTGTATATGAGAATTGGTTTTCTTTCCTACAATACCAGTCAGGAATAAAGAGAAGATACTGTGTGTGTGTGTGCGTGTGTGTGCGTGTGTGTGTGTGTGTGTGTGTGTGTGTGTGTATTTTATACTCTTCCTACCCCAGAACTCTATTGGCCCATCTTAGTTACTACTTCAAAGCAGAAAATAATAAAAAGTGGATGAATTGGCACCAAAAATGTGACATAAATATACTAACATATGATTACAACCTTCCAAAAGTGAACTGAGAATCTATGAAATGAACTAACAAATGGCTTTAACCCAGACTTACTTTCTTAATACATAGAGATCACATTGAGGCTTGAGGTCTTCTTTCCTGCCACTCTGACTTCTTGGCAGCAGTGTGACTTCATCTAATGCCTGGTCTATGTTCATCAGCCAAAGAGGCTGTCAAATTTTAACACCTACCCACTTGTGAAGCTATGGAATTCAATGACGAATTCAAGAACCCAAAGCTGACTCCATGATGTTTCAGGAAGCAAAATACAAAATAAGAGTCCAATGATCAGCAGCAAAAACTTCCTAATGAAGTAATCCATAGACAAAAATAAAACAGAGATTCTGCTCGGCAGAGGGGATGAGAAGGACTGAAAGAAATATATCACATGGAACATGAATTTCTTCACTTCCAAAAAGGCATCTTGATACATAATTCCCTCAAATTCCCTAGGCTACTACCCTGTGGATGGCAGTGACCTTGGCCAGGAAGCACTGTCCTTCGCCGGCCTCTTTATACTCCCTCTTCCACCTACCTCAATGGTATATTGCTCAAAGATGCGCAGCTGCAGGAAGATGTCCAGTTTGATTTTCCGCTCATGGAATAGTTCCTCCATCTGCACCTGGGCATCATCTAGCTGCTGCAGGACAGACTCAATGTGGCTGATGGAGCTACTGTGGGGCGTCTTATTGTTGGACATAGCCGAGTCCCTGTGGCAGAGTAGGGGAAAGATGGAGAGAGAGATTTTGTATGTTAAAAGAGACAGAGGAGGAGGAGGAGGATTCCTCTGAGCAAGGTAGATATGAATCTGGTGAGTCATTCAAACAACAGATATTTATCAAATTCCTACCATGAGCCTGACACTATCTGCTTAGGAGGGGAGATACATCATCATCATTTGGGTTCACAACTCTATTTCAAAGACTAGCTCTTGGAATTGTGAAAGGGAGCAAATGAAATAAAGTATGGGAAAGGGCGCTGCAGAGCATAAAATGTTAGAGAAATGGAATGGTTCCATACATATGTGTAGTCTACAATATATAGCTTTAATACACACATGCACATGCATATATACATATATTACATAAGAACAGACAAAGACATATGAAAAACAAAAATAAAAATCTTCCTAACTTTACCTCACAGGATTGTTAAAATAAGATGACATCATGGCTGCCAAAATTATTCACCCACTTTACAATGCTATGCTGAAGTTGTGGGCTGGTGTTCTTAAACAGGCTTCAAGTTATAGTTAAGAAAACATGGGATCTGGCATCTGCAAACCTGGATTAGGCTCCCACTCTGACATATATGGGCTTGTGGCCCTAGGAAATCACCTCCTTGAACTGCAGCTGCCTTACTTATAAAGCAGACTTAATAACCATTGCCCTACTCACTTCATAGTTTGCTGCTAAACAAGACATTGCATGAGACTGTGACCAGGAACATGATATATGTATTAATCCTGAAAGGACCCAGTGAAGTGTCAAGGCTAGGTTACAGGGGCTGGGATAACCAACAAAGATCTCGGGGAGGATAAGTTTTGATTTGGGGTGTAAAGGAGCAGATGCCCACAAGTGTGTGAGAGGGGCATGCACTCTTAGCAGTCTGTACAGAAGAGGTAGGGAGAAAGGAGCCAAAAGATAGAGAGACCAACTTGCTCTTAGGAATGAGGTGGTAGTGAGCCCTCCAAAGAGGTAATCATCAGAGAACAACTATGGAGTTTAAGAAGCTTAGATCCTATAGGGTCCTGAGTTAGCTAGGGTCCTAAAACTTGAAGTAGAGTGTTACATTCACTATCTTGTGA